GTTGAAAATAATANAGGGACTAAAATTTGCGGGTTGTAGGAGGGAGGCAAGGACCAAGCCACACGTGGCTGAAAATAGCCACGTAAAGCCACAAGGACAAGAAATGCAACTACCTACGTTTTCAAGGTTGGAAAATGGAGGTGACTTTAAATAAAGACTCTGGAGGAGCCTTTAATAGGACAAGGTTACAAATAGCCTTCTATTTGCACGCCGCGCTGAAGGACGCTTGGTGACGACATTAATAGCGGGGCTCGAATTTGCCTAGTCAGGCAGCGACGTCAGGCGGAGATGTCACAACAACAGCAACCAGTTTCCAGCTAGCGACCGGAAGACGTGGTCACGTGCAAGCAGACATGTCCATCCAGACCAGGTTTGCTGTCCCCTAGGTTCTCAATACCCAACAATGAGGGATCTGAACCGCGCACGGGACATGTTTTGTCGAGAGAGTTGGGAGAATATGTGTCGTCTTTAGGCGAATACCTGGAATTCGACCTGGAATCCAACCGCGACAGTCGGAAGTGAGGAAAGCCCTGTTTCGCCCCGCCCCACAGTTAACCTCACGTAGGTCTTTCTTTACTAGACAATTTACTGCTTGCTGACTGGTCATATAACACAGATACAGCCAGTGACGATGTTGTGAAATAATAGTTACAAGGGTGCAATTTCTCGGTGATTTTGGAGCCTTGAGACCGACTGCACATATGGTCAAGGCCATAGAGACATGTCTTAGATGCTACTTGGTTATGGCCTATGACTTGATATGAGAATAGCCAGCAGAAGAAGAGATATGGAAGCAGGAATGTGCTCATACTGAAACTATTTACTGTGTTCATGTTGCTGACCCCTATTAGCGTGATACTAGATGCTCGCCTCAGTTTTACTGTTGTCAAAGGAGTTGCAATTACCTTGGCTTTTGCGAGCAAAGAGGAATTGACGAGGTGGGCAAAACTAAAACTGCCAGATTCCTCAGAACTGAGAAAGAAGTGTGAGGTTATTAGTGAATGGTTTAACCTCTTCCAAAGTACTATTCAACAATATGGCATTCTTGAAGACGATATCTATAATGGATGAAACGGGGTTTGCAATGGGCCTAATTTCTACTACACGGGTAGTTACTAGGTCAGAGACATTGGGTCGTCCGCCTCTTCTACAGCCTGGGAATCGAGAATGGGTGACAGCTATCGAATCAGTCAACTCAGCTGGATGGGCTCTACCACCATGCATCATTTTTAAAGGGAAGACTCATCTAGAGGCCTGGTACGAGGATGATTCTTTACCGCGTGATTGGAGAATCGAGATTAGCCCCAATGGGTGGACTACAGACGAGATTGGTCTCTCATGGCTTCAAAATCTCTTTATTCCATATACGAATACCCGGACAAAGGGTAGATATCGGCTATTAGTTCTTGACGGCCATGGAAGCCATGTGACTCCTCAGTTTGATCGTGCCTGCGCTGAGAATAATATTATACCGATTTGTATGCCAGCTCATTTGTCTCATCTCTTACAACCTCTCGATGTCGGCTGTTTTGCAGTTTTAAAGCGCGTATATGGCCGCCTAATTGAAGATAGTATGCGACTCGGCATCAACCATATTGACAAGCTAGATTTCCTTGCCGCCTATCCAAAAGCTCGCATGGAGGCCTTCAAATTCGATAATATCAAGAATGGCTTTGCAGCAACCGGACTACTACCATTTAACCCGGAGCGGGTCCTTACACAGCTTAATATACAGCTTAAGACCCCGACACCTCCTGGAAGCCGTGCCGGGAGCACTCTTACCAATTGGGTGCCAGAGACACCTCATAATATTATCGAATTACACCATCAGGCAGCTACAATCAAGGCCTTATTAAAACGACGCACGCAGAGCCCCCCGAGCCCTACAGACGCAGCTTTAAATCAACTTATCAAGGGCTGTCAATTGGCCATGAATAGTGCCGTCATTCTTGCAAAGGAAAACCAGGATCTACGAGCTGCAAATGAGAATCTGAAGCGAAAGCGCAAGCGATCAACCAATCAGATATCTCATATAGGGGTTCTTTCGGTTCAGGAAGCTCAGGATCTTATCCAAGGTCAAATTTCAGGTGAAAATCAGATGCCGCAGGGTATGGCCACTCCGGCCGCGGAAGCGGCTTCCACGCCTCGCAGGCGCGCGCCGCCGAAGTGTACTAATTGTGGTACTATTGGGCATATACGGACTCGATGCTCAAATCGCTCTAATCCATGATTTTTGTATATAACTGGCGTTTTAGGTGGATAATACAGCTTCAAATTCTATTTAGTAGTTGCGGGCGCGGGCGGTGATCGGCTCGCTTGTGGATTACGTTAATTGAATCCGCTCGGGCGTCGTGCCGCGCCCAGGACTCAGTACCCGTGCCAAGCCCACCCAACACCACCTGGTATTGGTGTTGGGTGGGCTTGGCACGGGTACCATAGCGCGTTCAGAGTTAGTGGCTGCCAAGCATTTTAGCCCCATCGTGATACATCAGCTGGACTCTTCAGTCAACCTCGACGTTGCGTTTATAATCTCTAGTAATCAGTGCATCTGCTTGCGGCCTTTCTTTGAGAATGACTCGAGCCTGGCGATATGCCCGCGGCATTTTTGTGTTTCGTGACAATTTAAAAATCCATTCCTGCCCGCCCGTGAGGTCGTGCTTTCGCCTTCAACTAAGTTCTCAATCGCCACCTTTCTCGAACACTAATCGCAGAACAATGTCGTCATCTTTGGGAGTGCCTCATGCCCTACGGTCGTTTCCAAGCTCTGGCTTTTGAGTTGATTGATCACTCTGAAAAGATTGAAGAGGAGACACTACCTACTTACCACGCCGAAAAG